GAGAGAGAGAGAGAGAGAGAGGGAGAGAGGGAGAGAGGGAGAGAGGGAGAGAGGGAGAGAGCGAGCGCTGGTGAGCAGAATACTATCATCAGCTATTATAATGGAAAATCCAGGTCCTTCATCCAATTTTCCTTCATCCAATTTTCCTTCATCCAATTTTTAGATTTATATAATTTCACACACCCAGATCTCAGTGGTTTAAAGAGAGGCTGAGTACCCTTGAGGAAGGACTCTGTAATATCACAAGAATAATTATAAATATTCTTTCTATCCTTCCACAAAGGGCTCTATGGCCATTTACCAGAGTAACACTACACTGAAGAAAGAAGAATAGACTTTTGGAGGACTTTGGATAAGGCGTAATGCCAGGTGACCACAAAAGCCACCATGGTCCTCTAGTTAGTGTAGGGGCATATAGAGGCCAAGTAAAAGTTAGAGTTCTAGCCCAAGTGTCACACAGGGTACAGTGGGTCTGTGGCCTACCCTGTGATTGTTTTCCCAGTCTCCAAATGAATAATTGGGATATGTAAAATTCCCAAGTATACTTTGTAACTGGAAAAACTGTTATGTTGGTTCTCTGATCTATGGAACCATTACAGTAGGAAGAGCCAAGTGGAAGCCCCTGAAAATACCTTACCCCCATCCAAGTCAGTAAATAAGAAACAATTCCTGGGAGGAGTGACAGAGATTATTAGGCCACTATTTAAAAGATTTAAAGGATGCAGGGGAACCCTGCATATAACGCTTCAATCTGTTTGGCTCTCTTGCAAAAAAGAAAAAGAAAAAGGATCTTGATGACAATGAACTGTAGTAAACTTAGTCAAGTGCTAACACCAATTTCAGCTGCCATGTCAGATATATTTTCTTAACTGGAAGAGGTTAATACAGTTGTTAGCGTTTGGCATGCCACTACTTATCTGGCAAATATGGTCATTTAAATTCTCTTTGGTAAAAAAGCATCAAAAGCAGTTGGCGTGCACCTGGGGAGGACTTTTATTGTTTCACCCTAAGGCTGTATTAACTCTCATGTTCTCTATCAGAATGTAATCTGTAGGAACCTGGATCATCTTGACATTTCATACAACATCATTATGGTTTACTATATTAATGCCATCATACTAATTGTACTTGGTGAGCAGGAAGTATAAATTATTTTAAATGCCCTATTTAGGCACAGGCAGACCACAGGGTGGGAGATAAACCTTACAAAATGTTAAAGTACTGCCATGTTGGTGAAGTTTTAGGTGACCTATTATTTGGGACATGATGGGACCAAAAAGGTAAAGGTGGAGAACAAATTGTTACACATTGGAACCTACCCACCGATAAAGAGGCATGGTGCTTGGTGGGCCTCTTTAGGCCCATATACTGCACTCAGGAATACTCCACCAACCCATTTATTGGATTTGAATGTTACCCAGAGCAATAAAAGTGTCTGCATCAGGTCCAGGCAGTTGTGTAAGCTTGCTGGAAGCTTAAGCCATGTGACCCAGCAGATCTGATGGCATCTAGAAATATCTGTGCCAAATGATGAAAGAGAAAGAAAACTCTGGCCTTATTCACATATGGGTTACAGTGATATATTGATGGCAGCCGTAAATGCACTGTTGTCACACCACTGCTGCACTCCGAGGTACCCCTAAAGGACTGTGGTGAAGAGAAATCCTCCCAGTGGGCACAGCTCCAAGCAGAACACTTTATCAGTTTCTTTATATGGAAGTAGAAGTAGCCTGAGGCATAAATATACCTAGACTACTGGCAGTGACAAGTGAGTTGACTTTTCGGTCAGGGGCCTTGATAAAGCATGATCAAAAAAACAGATGAGTAAATCTGGGGAAAGAAGCATATGGATAGATCTACAGGAGTGGGCACAAAGCTTGCATTGTAATTGTGTCTCATGTTAATGCTCACAACAAGAA